TAGTGGCAAAACTGTGACTAATCTATAATCTTAAAAGATTTAGTTATGATCTTTTAGTGATAAAATATATATTATTATTAAGTCTTTTGAGCAATAAAAAATTGTGAGGAGTTTTCATGTAGTGAATATAGGTCTTAAGAAGATAAAATGTTCACTTACCAACAGTAATTCCGAAGGTTCGTGACATTCTTTGTCACTTTCTATTTTTTTATTAAATGTTTACTTTTTTTATATTATGTTTTATCAATTTAGTTCGGATACATTTTTCTTGGCACTGAATCAAGTACATCCGCAATCCCCTAATACCATAATTCATAATAACAATAAAGGAAAGATAAAGAGAATAACAACGAGAGATGAGACCGTCCTACACTTGCGTTGGCACCGATATAATTACCAAGTGATGAAAATACCATCAATACAAATGCCGAGCAACGTTGCTTTGCATCTGCATCGACGTCGATGCAATTATCGAGTAGTCCTCACATCTTTCATCATTTTCCTAATCCATAATAGCCGGTCAAGATCTCCAACGGCATCGTCATCTGTCATCATTAATTGAAATATTAAAATTATTTTTTATCTTTATTTTTATATTTTTTATAAAATTAATATCATTATGATAAATTGATATAAATATTTCACTTTTACAATTAATTACAGAAAAAAAAATTTATAATTAGTCGCAGTAATTTAGCAGGGATGTCTCCGTAGATGACGACTCAGCATCAAAACCGAGAAGTCACCAGCACCTGAGTCCCACACTCGCAATGCTGGTTGTAACTCTTTATTTATAAGGCTGGTGTCTGCTACTATTGTAGGTTTGTAACAAAATTGGGCGGGTTACAAGAGGGGTGACACGAGGATCATGCAACGGGTGATGGGGGTGGCGGGTTGGCTTTTGTGCACGACATTAAACGCACGCCACCCATCTGCTCCCACTAGCTTCCTCACCTAGTAAAGGTGAGGGGCGGGGCCCACTCTCCGCTCGTTCTAAGCCTATCTTTCTTGGTCCTTATCATGGATTAGGTTCTTAGGAAAGAGCAAATCCGGTACGTGTAATGTTTTCCTAACAAGAAGGTCACTGTACTTGATTGAGTGTCAAGAAAAATATATCTAGACTAATCTAAAAATATGGCAAAACATAATGTAAAAGAAAATTACTATATAATGTAAATGATAGAAAGCGATAAAGAGTGTCATGAACCTTAAGAATTATTTTTATTTTTTATTAATATTTATTTATGAATCTATTCACCCACTAACCTATTTGGATCATTTCAAAAAATAAAATAGGATGAACACATTACGACGGACTTAACTAGTTTTGCCTAAATCGTATGGTACTCTTGTGTGTCCGTCTGTAAAGATCAGCCCCCCCAAAACCTCTCATGGTCCCTTAGGACTTACAAATAGAGAAAACGAGTTAAATAAAGTGTCTCACTCAAGATCCACAAGCAAACATTTCGGAAAACACTTCATAGCCAATGCAAATTACAAACAGATTTTACAAGCTCTGAACGGTTGCACAACAAAGGATCCAAAATGGTCCACTATAGACCGAATATTTCTCACAAGTGTCTACATGACATAACCTTTATTTACAAGCCTAAAACAACCACCAAACCCAACTAAAAAGAGGTTATTAAGCCTTCGATCATCCCTCTACATGTTATGCAATGCATAAACAAACCAAAAGACATGGATATACATAAGCATTATATTAAATATACTGTTTACATTTTTGTCCGATTTCCATATCGACTCCAAGTATGCCTTCATTTGCATTGTATTGGATTACCCCCCCCCCCCCACTTGATCTCATAATGCATCCCCCAATGCATTATCTCAAGCGAGATCATGCGACAACTCATCGTTGCTCGCTCAGTCCGTTGAGCTTTTGTGATGTTATTTTTAAAGTACTCCTCCTCAACATGTGCGATCCGTTACACATGATTCTCCTTTTGGAGAGCCGAGACTTATCCGTCCTGGATATCTATCCCATCGGAGCAACTTCTCTCTTCACTTTCTTAAAGTTTCGGAGACCATCATCCCTTTGGACTACTTTGCCTTGCTGAATAAACTGTGCATTGTTCTGCCTCCTGCAAACACACTTGCTAGATTGCGACTCTATGTCAATACAGTCATCGTTGCATCCCTTAAGGCCTAGCAATATGCTGAACTCGCTGCACACTTCAGCCTCCTATGAACATATCCTTCTCATGTTGAAGAAAAAGTTTCAATGCTCCATGGCACCGAGTTTCGGTCGCCTTGGGATGGCCACGAACACTCCATCGTTCGCATACAAGCCTTTGCATGAGTACCGAATTCTTCGAGTTAGCAATTCCCCTCACCTCTATAAGCTTTGCACAACTCTTTCGGTCGTTGAACAACCCATTCCACTTTACATGGTCTCATTCTTTACCAAGCATCTTGCTTACCTTGAGCACCATCAAGTATGGTTACCAACGTTGAGCCGTAGCTCAAACTCAGCCATTCCAACTTTTGTGTGCTATGCATTCTTCCTAGCTTACTTGTCCTTGTGGCACCTCTTGCATAAAGGGTTGGCCATTCCTCTGAATGCTAGTCTCAGATGCCCGCTCCTCTGAGCGACTCCTTTTCCCTACATCTCTATGCTCGTTTTCCCCTAAATGGTCACATGTGCTGGTTGCCCTCAATACAGCCATGCTAGGTCCCCCACATTTGCATGCCAAGTGTTTCTATGAGTGCTTGTCCCTCTCTAATATCATTTGTCACGAACTTAGCTAGTTTTGCCTAAGTCATGCGGCAACCTTGCGTGTACGTCCGCAAAGGTTAGCCTCCCCACCTCTCATGGTCCCTTAGGACCTACAAAAGAGAAAATGGGTTAGAGAAAGCACCTCACTCAGGATCCACAAGTAAACATTTCGGAAAACACTTCATAGCCAATGCAAATTACAAACAAAAGAGGATTTCTATAGACAATTTTAAAAATTGAGACACTAAAAATTTTTGAAAACTAGAAGGTTTTTTTAACGAATTAACCCTTTTACCAATAGATGCCGTTCATTTTGTGAAGCACCTATAGTTCCTAAGGTTTGCTTTGTAGGAAGACATTCATTTCATTCAAACTGAGCGTAACTCGAAACAACTCATGGAGATCAACAGTAGGTACTGTACATCTCCTTGGAGAATTTAGACTGTAATGTGTATATACAATGGTTGTTGGATTCTTCTGATAGTTTTTGTGTTACTCATGTCTTCAGGGATGGCAACATGGTTGCCCATTGAGTGACAAAACTTATCATCAAGATTTATTTATATTTATCTATATAGATAAATATAATCTATATTTAGTTACTCTATTTAACTAAGATGTTTTATCATCAAGATTTATCTATGTTTCAGTTTTATAAACTCAGAAAGACTTGATATACAGTAGAAGCTAATGATGGGAGATCAATTTATTTTAGTTCTTATTTAAATAAATTTGGCTAGTTTAAGGATCTTTCATGAATGTCATAAATTTTCATATGGTCACATCCAGAATATTTTTATTTTTATTTCTGTCATTGATTATAAGAAGAAAAAAAAAAAGCAAATGATTAAAAATAAGAAAAATAATAATCTAGCTATAAGAAATGACTATCAAGTATCAAAAGGAAGATCATTTGACAAGTCAAATTTGAATTGTATATTCTCAAAGAAAGAAAGAAATTAGTTTATTTGATTAATATTGATATGATTGTAATTCCTCTATTATTATTATTTTTTATGACTTGTAAAAAGTGACCTATTAATTATAATGGCAGACTAATGAATCGAGTTATTTTCTCACATTATATATTAGTAGTAAGATATCATATTTATATACTTTTTTTCATTTGTATAGTACGATATCATAGTAAGAAGACCAGCCTACATGCCGAATGGAAGTGAAACATTTGAATGAAACCAAAGTCCAATTTTCTTATTATGTCAATACTAAAACGATCCCTTATCATATTATTCATGGCATCGATTGCAAATTGATGTTGATGTATCAAACTTATGTTATATTTAATATTGATATCATCAATTTTTTTTTTTTTAAATCAACTAGTTCAATCGATTATAACTTGTGGTTGGTTACATGATTTAGTGATCAAACCTTGTCTTCACCATTTAACACTAATCTACGAAAGATGGGGGATAGGATTTCGTGCGAGACATTAAGCACATGTCATTCATCTGCTCCCACAAACTTCCTTTGCTAATAAACGCGAGGGGCGGGGCTTACTCTTCGTCGGTTCTAAGCCTATCTTTCCTGTATTCCTCTCATGGATTATGATCTTTAGGGAGAATAGATCCGATACGTGCAACATTTTCCTCACGAGTACGCATCCACTTGATTGAGTGATAAGGAAAATGTATCCAGGCTAAATTACATATATAGTAAAGCATAATGCAAAAGAAAGAAATAAACATTTAATGTAAAGATAGAAAGTAATAAAAAGTGTCATAAACTTGAAGAATTATTTTTTATTAATATTTATTTATGAATATATAAACTTTAACCATTATGAATACATACTTATAGTATAAGAAATTACTATATTGGTGGAAATCTTAATCAATTTGTTCACTTAACTTGATATTGTTCTCTGGGATAAATTACATTGTTGATGAGATTTTTGCTAGTGTTACCTATTTGGAGATGAGTGGCTATTGATTGGCAAAGTAGGCTTGGCTTGCACACTTGATTTATGCGGCACAGAGCTCCTAAATTAAGTGATCTCTCATTACATGGATGATAATACATTACAAATGCCTATATAACATCATGTTGGCAAATGCTAAAGACTACGAATGATCTGAACAAAGGTTCAATCTAAATAAACAAGATGTATGAATCCAAGTAAGACATCTCTATCTAGACGTGATCGGAGGGGCACATGAGGTTCACGTTCCGGCCAAGTGGTTTATGAACGTAAGACATCTATACAGAGATGCCTATATATATCATCATCAACTTCACGGCGGTGTTATGAATGTAGTACACATCTCGAATCATTTCAGGCACCCTTAATACTCACATGTTTCTGTATCTTAAAACAAAAAGGAAAAAGAAAAAGTGTTTTCCTGAGAACTGGACGCCTTCGGCAATGGATTTGATTCCGTGTACTTCATTACTGGATTGGCGGCTGCATCAGTTCTCAAGCCCCTGCTTGCATAGAGGACAAGCAGACATGATCCTTAACCACTGATCCACGCAGTTGAGATGGAACACATGCAAGCATGGCAGCTGCCTCACCTCCTCCTTGTCACTGTACTTGGCGAGACATATGCAACACTCCTGCCCAAGACACAGATCATGGAGATCAAACACTCTGCATGTCGCAGTTGGAAGACGAGAATAACTTGCACTGATGTGGAACTCACTTGGTTCTCGGTTGCGACGCCGTCCGCTGTTGGCTTGACGTCTTTGAATCGCCAACGGGGTAGCCTCGCGATCTGGTCCTCCGACGCGCCTCGCTCGGTGGAGGCTAAGCTGATGTTGTACCCTATGAGATTGCTGATGAAGGGGACGCAGCAGCAGAGCAGCAGGAAGAGCAGGAATGGGAAGGAGTAGAGGATGGCGTTCCAGGCGAGGATGGAGACGCAGAGCACATGCAGCTTCGGAGCTCTGTCGAAGGACCCATGCCGCGAGTCGAAGATCCACACGTTTCCCATCACGAACCACATCGCGAAGAACAGCTCCAGGAACGTCCTCGACTTGTTCATCAGGTGAGAAGAGCTGCTGCTGCAGCGAAGAACGCGAGATGTTTAGTACACACAACCTGTCCGTGTGTCCTGCAAATTCTTGGCGAGAAATCAATTACCTGGAGTCGTCATTGCTCCTCTGTTGTTCGACGTCAGTGTTAAGGCCGGCGGTGGAGTGGCGGTATCGCCAGTAGAGGAGGGGAAGGCTGAGGAGATTGCCCAGGTTGTAGCCAGTGAGCCAAATCCTGAGCGGCCAAACTGGGTTCTCCTTCCGAGACGTAGCCATCGTCGCTGTGATGATGACAACCTGCGCTACCAGAGCAGCGAGCTCCAGGGCCAACCATGGCCTGGCATTGAAGGGGTTGGAGACCAAGTCGGACCTCGACCCGTTCTGATACCTGAACACCCTTCTCAAGAAGCTGAACCATCGAGCTCGAGATACCCTCATGGCCATCCTCATCAACAACGCGAGAGGCAACGCCCGAGCTCCGTCGTTGTTACCTGCAGCCGGCGGCATCTGGGAACGAGTTCCGCTGCTGAAACAGTGATGAAGATTCATGGAACAGAGGTTGGATTCATGATGAAAGCTGAACTCTGGAAATCCACCAACCAAAACACACAAAAGATAAGAGTAAGCTTGTTCACAGAGATGCTTGGTGGGTGGTCAGGATGCCATGGTTTGCTTAGTAAGGTGGAATGCGGGGGAGTAAGGTGGGGGGTTGGGCTAAGATGGTGACCAAGAATCTAACCAACCTTGCTTTAGCTCCAAGGGTGATCAAAGAACTCAACTGTTGGCCTAACCATTCTCCTTCCTCATCCGTTGTTTGTTTATCTGCAAAGCAAACAGAGATCTGCTTGGCTATCAATGACCAACTCCGAATTGACAGCAGAAACCTTTATTTTCATTTTGGTGATTACAGAAGGATGAGCTGAGAGGGATGTTTTGGTGTGGCTACTAATACTGGCAAGTAAAGGATCAATAGGTCCAGAGCTCATCATATTGAAGTACATGTTTGTGGTGTGGTTGGCTACCAAATTCCTAATAAACAACACAGTCGAAACTGGTCTTGTTGGTGAGGCAGCAGCAGCCACAACCCCCTGGGAGTTCATGCCAGTTCGATCAACCCATTCTGTGATCGTACTGAAGCTGCTTAGATTTATAGTTAGCTTTTCTTTCGTAGATTAATGATAAATGATGAAGACTAGATTTGAGCACTGAATTATATAATCAATAATAAATTGTTATCGGATAAATTAGTTGACTTCTTACAAAAATGAAAAATTAGGATGACGATATAAATATTAATTCTTTTCTCTTCATGATATAACTCATTATTCCTATTAACCTATCATTTTTCTTCGATTATGTGCTGATACATCAAAAGGAGAAAGAGCAAAAAAAAAAAGATAATAATCGAAAGATAAAAGGGAAGAAAAATAAGATAATTACTAGAATCATTCTGACTTACGATAAATAGAGGATAAAGATCTCATACCTCAACATGTCGAAATGGAACCATACAATTGAAAAAAATATATATGATTTTATAATGCTCATATATAATGTTAGAAAATGACTCGATTCGTTAGTCCACCATTACAATTTTCTGACCATTTTTTACAAGTCATAAAAATATAATAAGAAAGAATTACAATTATAGCAATATTAATCAAATAAATTATTTCTTTCTTTCTTTGAGAATATAAAATTTCAAAAATTTTCAAGTTAAGTTCCACTTGAATGAAATGAATGTCTGCCTACAACGCAGACCTTAGGAACTATCATTGTTTCACAAAATAAATGGTAAATTCTTAAAAAAATATCTTAATTTTCAGAAATTATTGTAAAGTGTCTTAATTTCTAAAAATTTATATAGTCTGCTTCTTCTTAACAGAAAAGATTATTTTACCCCTGCATATATCAATCGTTGCCTACGCTCTACATCGTTACCCTACATTTCCTCCCCTTTGAGAAGGACGATGAGTGTTGTGCCTTCACCCCATCGGTTGTCCATTTCACCTCAAATTATCACCCTTGGTCATCTTCACTTGTGTACCCACTTACCCTCCTTCCTCGCTCACAAATCAATGACGAGGGTGCATAAGTCATACTCTCTTATTTCTCCTCACCCACTACACGATTGATGGAGAGAAGAAACTATGTGCAACGATGAAAGGATGTGAGTTATGCCTCTTCCTTTCTTACCCACAACCAATGGCAAGATGGCAAGGGGGGTTTACGAGCAAGAGCGACCTGTACCCCCAACACTCACCCCTATTCCCGGGGGTCGTGGGCAATTAGAGCTGGGTTGACTAGCTCATCAACTAATGATTGAGGTGATGAGCAACAAGGCGACCAAGGATAAAATTATTATTTATAAAAAAAATCACTATGAGAATTTTTAAAAATAAAATATATTTATGAAATTTTTTAAAAATTAAAAGATTTTCTTAAAAATTTGCCCTTGGTGAAAAACTCACACCCTACAAACAACCAGACTCGATAATAATTTTGAGCAACAAAACATATGCCTTTATTGCCTTGCTAATTATGAGAAATGTCATTATTGATTTTACAACAACCTATTATGGATTTCTTCCTTCTTAACTAATAACTCGAGTAATCATAATATTTGCATAGCAATCATAATTTTAAGAAAAATAATATCCACATATAGTTAGAATTATTAAATAGAGAATCATTTCTGGTCTTCCAAAACCACTACTGTATAAATGCAATCAAAACTTGCATCATATTAGCAACAACACCTGATCACTTCTTAACCAAGCACAATTGCTCCTCAAAAAGATCTCATAGCTTCAAAGAAAAGGAACAATGATAAAACAAGTAATCGGTGAATTCTGGGTGATTTTTATACAGCAAATATATGAGACCCTACAAAGAAATACCCAATCTTGGACAACACAAAATTTTAATCTTGTACAACATAAAGAGCCTCCACAATACTCTCCACCAATCTTGAATATCAATAGAAAAAGAAAGAGAAGACTGTAAAAAAATTTAGAGAAATATATTTGTATTTTTAATATGCATTTAGATAATATGACTTGAGTGAATGTGTAGTTGTGGTAAATAATAGATAAAAACTATATTTTAAATATACATTGAAGTGCATGTTGTTTAGCAAAATTGTATTTCAAAAGTCTATTGGATATTAAGTGATAAATTCATCCTTCTAATATTTTAAACATTTATTCAAAGGTGAATATATATATATATTTTATTTTTAATTAGCAAATAAATAAATAAATGTAATCCTACAAAAATAATTATATGACCTATCTATATAATAAATAAAAAATATAATCATATAAATAAATATAAAATAATCTTTAAAAATAAATAAACAAAATTTTACATTATAGAATACATATATCTTGTTAGCTTCTCACTAAATTATGTTAGTAATTTTATGATTTTAGATAATATCATGAGGTACTTTAAAATTTTGAAAAATTATATTAGTATTTGAAGATTTATTTGTAATGTAACGTCCAAACCAAATATGATTTTAGAAAAAAATTATTAAATATTAAATCACATTTAAAATATATATTGGACCTCAATATATATTGTAAATGTATTCTCAAACGCACCCAATATCTGATCTCAAACTAAGCATCAATACAAAAAGAACGTAGAAAATTATTTCAAGCAAGCACAGGTTAGAACATTTTATACCTTTATGTTATTCCCAATAACCAATCTCACATAGATAACTTTCCCTCCCAATAAACCTTACAAAAAGATAACTTTAGAGAAATCAAGACATCAAAAAATCAACTATCAAGAAGAATATGACAAAAAGAATTGTCACTGATCAATCGAAATACATCAAGAGTCTTTACATAGCATCCAACTTCAACTAGAGATACGCGGACATTCCAAGTACAAAGATCATGATATTTCCCACAATGAATCTAGCTTGACGTACAAAGTTAGTAACATGTCTATTTGTAATCATGAATATTTCTAATACATAACCCCATTCTCCCAAGAAGAAGTAACCATCCTGTCATAGGAGAAGATGCATGCCTCTTGCGCACCCATATGAATCTAGCTTGAAGTACAAAGTTAGTAACATGAATATTTCTAATACATAATCCCACCTGCCATAGGAGAAGATGCATACCTCATGCTCACCCTCGTTAGACCAAAACAATTTCTATTCATAACATTAATCTTATCATACAAAGTTATCTCAGAACATCTGAAAACACTTGAAGCAATAAAAGGGAAAAGAATCGAGTATCAATTCATCCTGGTTTATCTTTTGAAATGATCCAGAAAACTTATTGAGTGTATCAATTCATGACACTCTTACATTACGAGTTTCCCTCCTTGTTTTACAGTATGCTTCACCATATATGTAGTTTAATCTGAATATATTTTCCTTGGCACTCAAATCAATGACATCCAGCTACTGGTCAGCACGACAGGGTCCCAGGAAAGATAGGTTTGGAACGGACGGTCGTGTGGGCCCCGCTCCTGTGCTTTGCTAGCGGAGAAAGTTGGTTGGAGCAGATTGGTAGCGCGTCCTTGATATCCCTCACCAAATCCTACTACTCTCCACCCCCTCACCCACCGCGTGATCCTCGTGTCCCCCTTTCGTAAACCGTTCCGCGACACACGGCACGAGTCTCGCGGCGGTCACAAGATCCCCATACGTGCGGGACTCCTCGTTGGTGACGTTGAGTCGTCGTATACGACCCCACGTGGAGCGACTCCTCGGTAAATTAGTGCCGTCAAGAAAGAGAAGACAGCAACGTAACGGATCTCGAAGCGTGCGAGGCTCACGTGCTCATGACTCTTCCCCGTTCTTGGCGTGCCAAGCTGTCTTTGCCGAAGTCGTGACCCCACCGGCTGTAGGGAGCTCGATGCGTGCGAGGCTCACGTGCTCGTGATGCTCCCTCGTTTTTGACGTGAGCGGAAGTCTTGGCATAAGTCGCGATCCAACTGGCTGCACGGAGCCGAGGTCATTAAAATTAATGTAAATGTCGGGAAAATACATGGGCACGGAGATCTCGAAACGTGTCGGGTTCACGTGATCTCACCGCTGCCCGCTCTGGCGTTACTTGCGTCCGCCGAGCCCCTCGTTCTCCACGCCCTCCGGGAGAAGTGGAGTCTTGACCACCACAACTGTTTATCTAATGACATCAAATTTCACCTTATTTGCGCCCGTGCCATTCCCCGCGGCACCCGCAAAAGAATTGGTTGGTGAAATTGTAATAAATGCTGAATGCGAGGGTATTTGAGGACGCTCTCTTACAACCAACAGGACCTCATTCCCCATATTCCTTTATTTATCGGTCACTCTCTCTTTTCTCCGCTTCGGTGAGGCGTTTTAGTGGTGGTGGTGGTGATTAATGGCGGCGGCAGGGACCAATGGCGCGGTGGTGGTCGTCGTCGGAGAAGGGGATCTGAAGGCGACCTTCCGCCAGATCTACGATCGCCTCAAGTCGGAGCTGCTCCAAGATGACGCCTTCGATTGCACCGACGAGGCCCGCCAATGGATCGACAGGGTACTTCCACATCCTGCCCCTTCCTCAATATATAGATGAGTTTTGTGTGATTTTGTATCTTATTTGAAGAAACCTTAGTTTTGGGGATCTGGAATGGTTTTGGAGCTCCTAAATCATAAATACTTTTTTTTTTTCCTTCTAATAATCAGAACAAGTTGTATGCTTTATGGGATATCTGAATGATAAGTGTTCATTGTGTTATTTTTAACAGATGCTGGACTACAATGTACCTGG